GATTGAAATCAGGGCATGATGGGTGCCGCGACCCAATCGTCAGTGGATGTTACTTTGTTAGCTGTGTGGGAGCCATAGCAGGGGCTTTACAGAGCCGAATCTTTTTATGGAAAGTCAATTTTATGGTGGAGGCTGTGACCGGGGCGCAGGTAGCTGTAGAGGTAGCCTGAAGGCCTGAGGACAGCAGTGTGACTTGAGATCTGGGGTTGGGTTTAACGGGGGTCAGGACACTGGCACAGGGGCCTGGAAAGGTGGTCCTCACAGCATGTTAGGTAGAGAATAAGACAATTATGGCACCGTCGGAGGTTGGGGAGATAGGCGATGTCATTTAATTAGGGGGACAGAGTAGATTCAGGCGTTGGGTGGGCGGGTGGACGTTGTCACATGCTGCAGAGAGATGTGTGAGGCTGACGGAGAGCGTGTTAACTCGCTGGTTCTAAGGAACTTGGCGGACTCTCAAAAATCATTATTTTTTAAATCCCGCCTGTTCTCCTGCTTATAGTGGTTTTTCTTTCTGAAACGGGTCTGACGTATTTATGACCAAGCTCTTGTCAACTGTTGTCATCGGCTTTCCAAAAACCTACGTACGTCCTGACACGTGGTACCTTAAGAGAAGGAACTCTCAGTGAGAATTGTGGATTTATTTACTCTCATCTGTCCAGCGGTCTTTTCCGACAGCTCTCCTGGACCCCGCTGGTTGTGCAGCTGGGCCCTGGAGGTGCTGACCCTTCAGCAGAGCCCACGTTCTGTGTGCAGCGTCTCCGCCCACCCTCACGTGTTTATTGTCCTTCTGCTGAGTGATTTTCTCCTTCTTTAAATTCCAAAACACGCACCTGTCCTGTCTTCCTCTGCTGATTTTCTGCGCCTTTGAGTAACTCTTCCGACTGTCCGGCTGTCTGGCTTTCCGATACTGTTGCTCCCTAAATTCCAGCATCAGGCCCCTTCTCTGCTTCCAAGCTTTGCCACACACCTCTGCATCTGCCTGTGATGTAACAGGCGCCTTCCCCGGGACACCCCCGTGTCTCTGCTTTCTGCCCCGACTTCTCGGTCAAGCGCTGTCCTGCTCTTAAGTTGCCTTTCGGACAACTTCAACTTTGTCACCTCCCCAGACCCAGACTCCGTGGGCCCCAAATCCATGCATGTCCTTGGTGGCAGAGCTCGGCTACGCTCCCTGCAGTGTGTGCGTCTGTGAGTGGCATCTTCTGCACTCAGCACCCCCCACACACGAGGTCCATGTCCTCAGTTCTCTTCCCATGTCACGTTTTTTAAAATTTACTTACTAATGTCCCATCTGTGACCTTTCCTATTCGCCCATCTATTTTTAAAATGAGTCCTGCTCTGTCTTCGTAAATAATAGGTCGCAGAAGATGACTGTGCCCTGCGAACGGCATCCGCAGGCATCCGTCACCTGCTCCAGTCCCACCGTTGGAAATTCCTTCATCACCCCACGTCTCTGGGGACTTCCTGTTCCATCCAAACCGAGCATCTCTGGGAGGGCTGGTCCTTGTTCTTGCTTTCCCAGTGTCTCCTGCATCCCAGGAGACTGTCGTATTCCGCTGTCCCATGCTGCTTGGGAAAAACAAGCACGTGTTTCTCCTTCGCTCACATTCTCGACACCCCTTCTGATGCTGGATGTGTGGGTTCTTTTCCTCCACCCCAAGTCATTCTCTGGGGCGCCAGCTGCGTGTCCTACAATTCGATTCGGTTCTAACCGTAACCAGAGTTAGCACAGACCTCACAGGTAGAGGACGTAGTCCCACAGGACTCCCCGACACCCGCCAAGCAATTTCAGAGGCCAAGTGCACGTAGTCGGTGCCCAGCTTACCCGCGACTTCTCTCCAACTTGGCCACAAATCCGGGGTCCCCGTGACCTTTTTCTCGGATGCCATCATTTGCTCGCAGAGCTCAGAAAAGCGTTTCCTTAATGTTCTCAACGTATTATCTAACAAAGTATACGGTAAAGGATAGAGATGAACAGCCAGCTGAAGACATACACAGGGTGAGGTCTACAAGGATCCCTGGGTGCAGGGGCACTGTCCCCGTGGAGTTGGGGTGCACGACCAACCCAACAGGGTGTGCGCTGACGACCTAGAAGCCCCCCGGACTCGGTCGCAGTGGGATTTTTATGGAGGCTTCGGCACATTTGCGGGTGCAACATGACTTCCTCTTCGGCTCCTCTCCCCTTCCTGGAGAATGTGGGTGGGGGCGGAAGTTTCAAGAGTCTGACCACGGCTTTCTGCTGCTGAGCCTCCATTCCGGAGCCATCCAGGAGCCCACCCAGAGTCCTCTCGTTAGAACGAAGGCGTTTGTGTCACCCAGGACGTCCCTAGAGATTTAGGAGCTGTGTCAGGGACCAGGGAGTGTCAAAGACCCGATATTAGAACCAAAAAGTGCTCCTGGTGCTCTTATTTCTTGGGAAATTACAAGGGTTTGGGTAGTTCTGTCTGGGCCAGGAAGCAGTGACAAGGACCAGTATATATATATTTTCTATTAACAGATACCCATACCTCATCCATCACATGCTCCACTCACAGCCTTCCCTAATTCCGACACGAGAAAATTCCTACCTGTGTGCATTTCAGTAGCTGATCTTCCATGCTGCAATTTATTCTTCTCTTAGAGAGTTACGAAAAGAGTACTTACCTCTACAGGTGTTTGCGAAATACATAAGTTAATTCAGGCATTTTTGAAGCATCACAGGCAGCCTCTTGGTATTAATTTTTGACCTAATAATGGTCCTCCTCCTTAGTCTAAATGCTTAATGAAGGGCGGCTTCATATTAACACTCACATAAACCCCAAATTCCTTTCATTGATCTGTGGTTTTATTCAATAAGCTCTTTACCTTGTCCACAGCTCCGTCTTCTCACAGTGTCCTCTTGATTACTGCCCTCCTGGTATACCAGTTGTCATCAAGCAAGCCTGTACAAATCAGGATATTTGCACGTGTCACTTACTGTGCCCGCCTGCAACATTCTGCCCTCCCCCCCC